TTAAAAGCAAGCTTTTCTTTGTAAAAACTTCAATTGAATTTCAATAAAGTTAAAGGCATGACCTCACTATTAATATTAAAAAAAAAAAAAATCTTTTTGCAAAGCGCAATAAATATTATATAATAAAAATAAATAAAAAATCAGAAATCAATTTTTTTTGGAGAATATACATAATTTTGCAAATTGCAATAAAAAAACTAGAATTAAAAAAGTGAATTTCAGTATAAGTTTTATATATTTGTAATATGTAATAATAGCAAAATAACAGTTATATATTAAGAAGTTTTTCACTTTCCTTTATCTATATTCTTTTTTCAATCTTAACAATGCCACCCTTGCCTACTTTACTAAATGATTGTATTGTAAAAACAAATATATATTTTTTTTTACATCTTAAGCAGTTATACTAGTATTTTATTAAGATTCTTAAAACTATATACATCTATAATTATATAAAATTTCAATACTCAAGTCTAGCATCATTCGGCCACCTTATTGGCACCTAAGTGCAACCTGTCATACTATTTTAGTTAAAGATAGACTGCTCATCTAACTACTTAAAGCTATACCAAAAAGGTCTTCCTCTATCTGTGACAAGCATATTGATTAACTTCCAAGCTTCTTTCTTTATTCTGTTTATTTTTTTTGCTTTCTTTTTCTTTTCTTCCTTTTTTGTTATCTTATTCTTCTTTGTTTTTTTTTCTGATCTTTTTTTGATTCAAGCACCTTTTTTCATTTTGCCTGTTATATTGATCTTCTTTTCCCATTCTTATACTTTCCTACATCAAACTCTTCATACTTGGTCATAGAATGTATTTCATACTGTTCTTGTTACTGTATCTATCTAGAATCTGACTAATCCTTTTTCCAACTTTATTTGTTGTTAGCCCTTTTATCAAAGCTGTTCTGTTTGTAATTTCTTCTGCTTCTGTCTTCTCAAAAAATGCCTTATATAGTACTAGAGGTGGGATTCTAACTTTTTCACTTTCTTTTAGGTTATTTCATGCTGCTGCTATTGCTACCTTTTGAATTTTCTTCCACAAACTCTTTTGTCCAATGCAGCTTGCTAGGTATGCTTGAGTTTCCTTTTCACCTTTTTGACATACTTGACAGTTAGTTGTTATGTATATTTTTGGTTTTCTTCTATTTAGTTCTTCTAGTGTTAATAGGCTATCTATTATATATTTGATTGCTATTGCTCTTCTTGTACTAAGTTTACTTGTTGTGCAATGTACACCTTTTGTTCTATTTATCTCTTTCCAAAAGCTTAACCAATTTTATTGAGTGTTCTCAGTTTCTGGCTCTAGTGCTTAAATTGGATTTGTTTCTCTCTAACTAGCTCTAATTCTAGCATTCATAACTATTTTATATAGAAGTTTTGCTGATATGTTAACTTTTCTATTTTTCCATTCTAAATGGTACTCTATTGTGTCAAACTTGATCTTTTCAGTAACTATTGTCCTTCCACATATTGCTCCTTTTTTTGCAAGTAAATCTGCTCTGTTATTCTACTTGTCATTACTATAACTTTTAACCTTAACTAGTTCTATTCTATTATTCTTGTTTTTGAGTAAACCAACAATATTTACTATTCACATCATATATTTCTTCTTCAAAACTTTGTCATCTTCTATCTCTTGAATTGCTCTGTTAAGATGCCTTAATGCTGTGAGGCTATCTGTATGCACCTCTATATGCTTCCCTTCTGGTATGATTAAGATTGCTAATCATATTGCTGCTAATTCTGTCATTGTTGCTAAGGGCCAACCTTTAAGTCCTAGTGCTATTTCTTCTTCTGGCCAATCTTCTTTGTTACTAACCTGCATCCAACCGATAGCTATCTTTCCTATACTATTTTCCTTTTCCTCTTTATATAATGCACCATCTGTATAAAGAGTATATTTGTCTTTGTTTTTTTTCTTGCTTTTTGTTAGGGCTTCTATTAAGTAATTTGTAACTTTATTATCAAATTTTTTAAAAACAAATATTAAAATTAACCAAAGCAATTTAAAAACTTATTGCAAATATTGTATTGATATGCTAGAAGAAGAACAAGGGAAAATAAACTATTTTTCTAATAAAAAAAACTGAATTATATCATATTTAAAAAAATGTTCATATTTTTTTAATGCAACTATAGCTGAAGAACAAGCTGAAATATTTGAACTAATTTTAGATAATGATTTATCTACAAAAAAAAAAGTATATATTGTGTATATAAAATTTTAATTAAATTGATCTATATTTGTAAATATAAATTTATACTTTTTTTAGTAAATAATAAATAATCTTCAGATTCATCTTGAAAAGTAGTAGTTTATTCAGAACCTTATAGTTCAATTGACAACTATGCTATTCAGGCTTTATCAAAAGAAGATGCTAAACATTTAACAAGCTTTTGCCTAAAATGACAGTTTCTTGCAGATAGTCTTTATCTTAGATAAATAATTCTGAAGCAAAGGCATGCTTTAAATTTTTGAATCTGCTTCTTGTACTTTCAGATTGTCAAACATTAGACAATTAAGTTTTAACTGAAATTGTTAATGATATTAATAAAAATATGGAAATTGCATTAAAAAAATATAAAATATGTATAACTTTAACTTATAACAGATGGACAAATATAAAAAATAAGCATCTTTTAGGAACTGTTTTATTATTATTTAAGGGAAAGCCTTATATTTGGAAAGCTATTGATATTAGTTCTGAGTGTGAAAATTATCAAGAAGTTATAAATAAAACTGAATCAATGCTTTCAGAATTAGAATTAATAGATATTAAAGTATGTGCTATTGTTACAGATAGTGCAAGTGCTTATGCAGCTGCAAGATAATTATGTATTATATATATGTACTCATTGTAAATTAGTAAAATCTGCTACGTACATAGTCACATTAGGATAAAATTTGTATTTAGCTATGTTTTTTATTATGAATAAGCAGATTTTATTCTCATACATATGTATGATTTATGTACATAGCAGATTTTACTAATTTACAATACAGGTTTTATTTGTTATATATATTATTACATGTATAATATATTTTTAAAATTATTTAATTAATGATTAATTTATATTTTTAATTTTTATATTTAGATGCTGTTTAGGATTTTAAGAAGATCAATAGTTTTTCTTCATTGTTTTACTTATCAATTAAATTTGTATATAGGTAAGATTTTTAAAGAATCATTATTACTAAAAAAACTATTGATCAGAAAATTAAATTTGCTAATTATTTTCGAAATGCCAACAACCAATTTTTTATTGGTCAATTATGCAATCAACAATATGAAATATATTAAAAAATTTATATGATTTTAGCTCCTTGTGAAACTAGATAGAATAGTTTATTTTTTATATATACAACTCTTTTATATACACAAGAAGCATTACAAGTAATATATTAAATTTATTTTTTTTATTTTTATATAATAATAAATTATAAATTTTATTTTTTTAAAAAATTTATTTTTTATAATTTTTAGATCTTAGCAATAAAATTTAAACCACCTTTTTCTGAAACTTATTGCATATAGGAGATAATTATATTCATCATAAAATTTATGAAATTATTGAAACTAATACTTTTTGGAATCAAATTAAAGATTTAGTTAAAATTCTTTCTCCATATTGCAAGTTACTTAATATGTTTCAACAAGATAAAGCCTGTTTGTTTGAAGTCACTTTTAGTATAGCTTATCTTGTACAATTTTGAATATCAAATTCTAATAATTGTTTGGCAACACAATTAATTAGAAGACTTGAATGACATTGGAATAAATGGGAACAGCCAATTTTATTATTATTAGTAATTTTATATCTCAATTATAGAATAAGTCAGTTTCGAGCTATAGCAACTAATATTAGTTATTCAACTTTTGGAGTTGGTTAATTTATTATTATCGTGCATAGTCAGGCCAAGAACCAAAATGTATTCTTCATAAATTTAATAATTTTCATTTAAAATATTCTCATTTTGATAATGAAACTTATCAACATTTTGAAAATAAAAATATTTTATCTTATTGGTATTATGTCAAAGATTTAACTAAAGAATTAGAGCTTGTGGTGTATAGAATTTTTGGTATTTGTGTTAATGCTGTTTCAGTAGAACAATTGTGAAGCTATATGGGTTTTATTCAAACAAATCAGCAAAATCAATTACTAGTAAGAAATATCAATGAATTTGTGAAATTGAGTTTATTTGTAAAATTTTAGTAACTAAAAAATAAATGAATTTTATTTAATTACAATTATTTGCAATTATTCTTATCTTGTTATGACAATAATTGTAATCAATTATAATCATAATTGCATAATAATGATAATTAGCAATTAATTTTCAGTACTACTGATGTAAACCCAATTTCACAAATCTGCTGACATAATTATCTGAATTTTTTATTTAATAGCAATAGGAATTTTAAGTTTTTCTTTTGTGATATATATATATTTTATATATATTTTAGACACAAAAAGTACTTAATATGAGTAAATTGCATGCTAATATAACTTATCAATATCATCATAAGCCAGATGATCTCTTTTCTACTTTTTTAAATTCTATATCAAAATATGATAATACTACAACTCAAATGATGCATGATAATACTACAACTCAAATGATGCATAATAATACTACAACCCAAATAATATATAATAATACTCTTTTAATTCAAATAACATATGATAATACTGATTCATTAAATGCAGAAATATCAGATATCAATATAGCTAATAGTAATAATGATATTGGTTTATCACAAAATAAGTATTTAGATAAAGAAAATAAAGAAATTGAAGATAATAAAGAATGTAATTTGTCATATATTTCTAAAACAAACTTTGGTAAGTATCTTTAAAAATGGATAGAAATGTTAAATAAAGAGAAAGAGTCAGATATAATCAAAAATCAAGATGATCCTATAGAGTTAGATAACAGTACTCACTCAGCTCTAAATAATAATATGAAATGGAAATTATCTGATTTATTTTGTTTATTGGATCTTCTATTTTATTAAATTTATTAAGACAAATAATATTTCAAGTTGGTTATAATTGGCAAAATGATATCAGAATAGTAGGAAAAGGATAATTAGTAGCAAAAATAAATAGATTGTTCATTTTATTATTATTATTTTTTATTATAAATTATGCTCTATAATAAATTATCTTTATTTAATAGTAAAAAAGATTACAATATTTAGAATTTTGGTTGTAAGATTATTAATACAAGTTTAGATAGTATGACTAATTAGTATTTATCAAAATGGAGATAGCTAAATCAATAGCGATAGTAAAATGCTAACAAAAAAAAACATTAAAGATGCAAAATCATATTTAAACCTTTAAAATGTTCTCAACCATCTTAATCACTAAATAATTTACTTAGTGAAAAATATTTTAAAGGGTCAAATGAGCTTAATACTGTAATGAATATTTAAATAGACATCATAATTTATACTTCAATTTATGGCAGACCATCTTTTTTTTATCCCTAGCTTGACACAACTAATTGAGTATTCAAAAAGATCACACAAGAAACCTTATCAACCAAACATTAACAAATTATTAATTGCATTGCAATTCTTATTTTGATTAATTATAGTAAATAAGCATTATCATGTTTATTAGTTAATCATATAAAGAATAATGTTTGAGCAAACTCATAATTTGCATATTTGATTTGTTATCAAAAATTTTATACAAATATAATTATAGTTATGATCACAAGCTAATCATATCAAGATTGAGACATGAGAACACTTTTAGTAAATTGATAAAATAACAGCTTCAATTAGTCATATTGATTAAGCACTATTTTAATCACTAGTAGCTCATATTAAGGAAGCTGCTTGATATATTTTTCAGAAAAATCTAAAACCCTAATATGAATTAATTGACCATATATAAACTACTAAAAAAAATTTAATATGTTGAAAAACTTTGTAGTCAGTTTGACTTATTATCTTTATAAATGAATACTTATTATGATATATTATACATTTGAGCATTTTTGATATGTTCAACAATCAAGAAAGTTAAAACTTGTTAAAAATATATAGCTATATGTTTATTAACATTCCTGGTCTTGGTTAAGCATAAATAATAAATGATAAAGTTGCTTGACAGTAGCTTAACAGTAATAGTAATGTATAAATAATTTTATTGACTAATAGTCACATGTAGATTGATATAAATATTTGAGACAAAAAAATTTTCCTGAACATGTTTACAGACATCCTGTTTCAGACATGTCTACTGTCTGCATCTATGTCCTATGACAACCCTGCCTTAGAATAATCAATAACAGGCATACCAAAGATAAGAAAATCATAAGGATTAAACATATCTGAGTAAGACAAATTTGGAAGTAGTATAATGACAAAAAGGTAAAAAATGTGAAGAACAAGGTAATACTAGATATAGTTAGATTAAGAGGCAGAAGAAACAAGACCAGATAAACTATATAAGTAGAACATATAAGTATGATTTACAGAAGACAGTACCCCTAGCATTTGGGATACATATTAAGTTTAGTAGGTATTCTTGTCTGTGTAGTAGTTTAATGGTTGTACTCTGACTGCAAGTGGTTGTTAAGATAACTGTATACAGGCATGCAGTGGACATCTACTTAGTTGCTATAAGGGTAACTAAATGAAGTCAATAGTGTAAAATTAGATAGTTATAGTACTAGTAATAATCAATTCTAAAATTGTAATCATAAAATTTGTACTATATTAAATTAAAGCTAATAAACCAACTGGCATTGTCACCAAAGTTCAAAAAAAAAAAAAAAAGATATAAAGAGAAAACAAGTTAATCATAATGCACCTGCTAATGTTGATAAAAGTAATCTGAACAACAATAGTAATGGTACTAAAAAAGAAAAACAAGTTGATCACAATACACCTATTGATGTTAATGAAAGTGATTCAAACAATGCTAAAAAAGAAAACAATTTGATCACAATGCACCTATCAATGTTGATAAAAGTGATTTAAATTTATCAAAAAAGATATTAATAATTGTTATTTTATTATTATTATTCTATATTATATTAAACTTGCAATAATTATTTTTAAAACTTGTAGGGCTAACACTTAAGTTGGTAAGATTGAAATGCTCGAAACTTAAAATACAACTGCTTGCACTAAAAGTAGAACTAGAGTCTGTAAACCTAAATATAGAAAACATATTAATTACAATGCATCTATCGATGTTAATGAAAGTAATTCAAACAACAATAGTAAAAGAGCTACAAAAGAAACCCATGCCAATTACAATTCATCTATTAATTTTAATGAATATGATACAAATTTATTAGAAAACAATATTGGTAAGTTGTTTATCTTATTATTATTCTATATATTAAACTTGTTAGTAACAGTCTTTTAAAATATTAGAATTAGCATTTAATCTTAATGAGATTACTAACAATAGAGTAAAAGACTGCAAACCTAAAAAAGAAAGAAATCTTAAAAGTTCAAATAAACTTGATAAAGATCTGCAAAATAAGTAGGTCTAAATTTTAAATAAATATTGGCATGCATATATAAGGTTTCATAAATATTATAAAGCTAATGTAATAAATTGAGATTAGGTAATTTTTATAATTCAAGATATAATAAGTAGCTGTGCAATATTGTCAATAATTCTTATTGTGTAATGAAGATTATACAATTACTATTCAAGATTTGTGTATAAAAAAAAACTTGAACTTAACTATATATTTCACTCTACTATATTACTGGTTTTACTCAATCTCAATAGATTACAAGATATTAATTTATCATATTAATACACTTGCATCACAATATTTATAATACTTTTATATTACTATAAATTGACAAAAAATATTAGCATATTCTTAGCTTATTCAAAACATTCAAGTCACAAGTATAAAGTAACATAATAATTAATAATTACTTGTCTTTTTTTAAGGAAACATAATTTAAATAAAGAATTATAGATATAAGTTGACAAATTTTATTAATATTTATTTATATCTACAGTAGCTATATTCTAATATAATTTTGCATTCAAATATATATATATTTTATAATAATATCTATTTAACATATGTAGTATATATTTGCTACAAAATTAGCTTATATTTAATATGTAAATTTTATATATATAAAACAAAAATAAAAATAAAAATATAAATTTGCTCTAATTTCTAAATAAAATGATTCTATATTTATTACAAATTGTTTATAAAAACTATATAAATAGATGTTCATAATTGTATAAAAATTGTTATATTAATTTAATTTACAAATTTTATACAAATATTAGATAAAAACTTTTTATTGGAACTTTACTAGATTGCCACACTTTGAGTTTTATATTCTATTAGTGTTTTATTCAAATAAGATAGAAGTTATTGTTATCAAAAGCATAAGAAAAAGTGTGAAGTTTATATTATTATGTTTTGTTAAAAAGATGTATTGTTTTGTCATAAAGAGGATAGTTATTAGAGTTCTCAATATAGGCACATTTTATTTTAAAATGTTTGCAAGTAATTATTATTAAAACTAAAAGTTTAAGTAGCCAGTAGTTGTGTTTTTGTGAACTAAGTATATAATTTAGTATTGGTATAAAAAATAATTTAATATAGTTAATTGTGAATTTGTAGATTATCAAACAGTTATTTTTAAATTTTTTTTTTAAAAAATATTAATAGTAAGGCTACACCTTAAACTTTATTAAAATTTAATTAAAATTTTTACAAAAAAAAGCTTGCTTTTAAATTACATATAAAAAATAAAGACTTAGACATATAATCTGTAACCTAAACCTACAAGAGTAACCAAGACTCATCTAGATTTGAATTTGAATAATAATATAAAAAAGAAGAGTATAGATTTAATCTATTAGATAGTATAAAGATCAATTTTAGTAATAATTTGTGTTATTGAAATAGAAGGTAAAGGTAAACTAGAAAAATGACTATAAGTTAAGTTAGTAGAAAGTGTAATTTGAGACTGTGCAAAATGTAAAATACAGTATAAAATTCATATTTGTTTGTATATTTGTTGGTTTAAGTAAAGAAAAAATTTGATAGAAAGAGTAGTAACAGTATAGTAAGAAATAGAAGCATTGTAAATAGTAGAATAAGATCTATAGAAACTAAATCATATAGTATAGAATTAAAAGAAGGTATATATAAAGAGTTATGCAGTTTGAAACTGTTAAGTATGAGAATTTTAGAATGTAAATCAGAAACAAGATTGGCAGCATATCAAGAATAGTTGTATTTAAAATACTATTAAGAGAATTAAAGATTAAGTAGTAAATTGTTTGGGTTAATAGGCAAATAGCTCAATGAAGTGAAGAGCTAATATAGTTGCATTAATAACAGGAGAAAGAAAGTAAAGAGTTATGTTTATAAAAAGTATAAGGAACAGAAAGTTTATTTGTAAGAATTTTAACTTGAAAAGTTTTCAAAATAATAAGTAAAAACTGTAAGCAAAATTAGAAATTTTTTGATTGTTGTTAATATAAAGTCATGTAGCTTTCTAGTTATATCAGATGCAATGGTAGACCATTGTTGAAAACAATGTTGAAACTCCAAAATGTTATAATATAGACTTGGCATATAGTTCAAATAGAGTGTTAAATAAGAATTTTAATAGAAAATTCATTGATAAAAAGTATATAGTTGATGTTATAAGAATTATTAGTTAATAATATAAAGTAAGATAATATTTGGTGATTATGAGCAAGTTGGTTAGCAAGGTTGTTAAAAATAGATCATCTTGGTAGAAGTAATTTTGTAAAAAGCAAGCTGAATTTTATAAGACTTAATAAAGTTGATGAGTGTTTGCCAAATAGAAAAATATAAAATATGAGTATAAAAAAGAGTAGATGCTGATTGGCAAATATTATAATATTTGAAGATTACTAATTATGAGTCAGTAAATATATAAACAAAGCAATATCTAGAAGCAGTAATAATTGTTAAGAGAATAGCAAGAATTTCAGTTTTAAAGAAACATGTCTACAGTTTAACTTGTGTCTAAAATAAGTTAATGGTTGTAAAGTTATCAACTTAAACACAACCTATGCCTATAGAGCACTGTAAGATACTAAGATCAATAACAGAGCCATTAGTATAAAATAAAATAGATAATAGATTTTGATTTAAGTTAGTAATAGTCTGAAGGTTATTAAAAAGTTGACATATTTTAAAAATAAAAGGTAGTTGTTGTAAATTAATTGTGATTAAAAAAGAAAATAGAATATATAAGAGATGTTAAAGGGTAATAGAGTATGCAATATCAAGAAAGTTTGCATGAAGATTGAGAGTTTTGTTAAGATTAATACAACAAAGTTGCTTAGTAGTCAAGTTAGTAAGAATAAATATAATACATTTGTTAGCAATTGTATTTGAATTAAGGTGATATTCAATATATAATATAGTAGTAGAAAAAGGAGTAGAATAAAGATTAGAGAATTGAAACTAAAATAAGTAGTACTAGTAGTTGATAAGAGTAAGGCCAGTAGATGTATTATGCTTTCTAACCTTGCTAATAATTATTTGATTATCAAGAACAATGAGTAGCCAAGGTTTAGTATTAGAGATAAAGTGGCTAGTAAAGTAGCAGAAGTAGTTTACAAAAAATAAGTTGTAATAATCATATAGAGTATATTGATAAGAGTGACTTGTAGTAATGTTCTTAAGAGTAGTAAATCATTGTGATATAACATCTTTTAGAATATTGTTAAGTCTAGATAAAATGTATTGCTAGTGAATAAATATGAATTGTCATGAATAGTAAGTTGCTTCAGAAAAAAAAGTTTATAATGTTTGAGTTGTTTTTAAAAATAGGATATTTTGGATGAGAAGAATGAAGAGATCCAAAAAAAATAGTTTCATCATTTAGGGTGTATAGAATGTTGTAAATTGGGCTAATTGAAAAAGTTCAGCCTATATGTTTAATAAGTTATATTATTTTGAAGTTTGTAGTTAAGTAATTAGTTTCATCAATAATTGGCTTAAGATGAAAGAAAATATTAGTAGAAGACCAGAGATTGTTTTGGAGTTGTTGAATTTGTATATGAGTAGATGTGTTTAGTAAGTCAGAATTGTTAAGTTATTTAAGAAAATTGAAAATGTGATATTGAAGTTAAATATTCTAGATATGTTTAATATTGTAGATTTAAGAATGTAATAAGGTACTGAATGGTATTGTACAGCAAAGTTTAGCTTTGAGCTTAATAAGACCAATATGTTGGATTAAAATTTTGTTGCAGATAAGTTGGTTAATAACAATATTGTATAAGTGGTATTTGATAGTAGAGATGATAACTGTATTAATAATATAGTGGGCATATAAATTAGTTATATGCTTTGTTTTTGCAATTTGGATAAATTAGAAGGATTTAGAAATAATTAGTTTTGTTTGTTTAGACTGTCTGTTATCTAAAGTAAACTAGCAATCTAAAAATTTAAAGGGTTGTTTGAAAGAATAAAGTGGAAGTAGATAGTTGTTATAAGAGATAAGAATATAGTGAAATGAAAGGTTATTAGTAACCAAAATGGATTTTGAGAAATTAACTTAGATATTAGCCATAGTATAAAATAATTCAGCTATAGATAATATATAAGATAGCTTAGTTTGTAAAGAAGTAACCTAAAAAGTATCATCCATATATGCTAAAACAGAGCATTGGTTTTGTAATAAATTAGATGTTTGAAGTTTTAAATTAGTAGTCCAAGTAGATTGTAGAGTATAACCAAATACTTTTGAGTATATGTATAAAATAAGTAGGTCATAGTAGATATGCTATAATAAAGATATAATTGTTTCACCTTGGTCAATACTATTGTGAACTGAGTAAGATAGAGTAAGATTAAGATTAACAATAACTTGATTGTAATGATCAATAATGAGATCAGTAAAAATGTTAATAATAGATAAAAGAAGTAAAAGATGGAAGAGTGAATGTTTAAAAAAAGCAAACTTTATAGAATTATATACTTTGCTCACATCTTATAAAAATAACCAAATGTCCTTGTAATTACAGATAGCATCTTCAATAAGATTATTAAAAATATAAATAGAAATTAAAGTACTCTTATTGGAGAGTGCAACATAGTTAAGAAGTAAGAGAATAGAGTTTGAGAAAAATACAGAGCTAAGTTGGTTTGTAAAAATTTTTATATAAAGTTTGTAAATGTGTTTGATGAGACTAATAGATTATATGAAATTAAGGTCATTGTAAAAAGTGTTGTGTTTAGGAATAAGATAAATTTTACTGTTTTTATTGTTTAAAAATTCTGTTATTAAGAAGACAATAATTAAAGAGAGTAGTAATAGCAAAAGTGCATTGGGGACTAATGTATTTAAGCATTTTATAACTAATACTTATAGAACCATAGGCTTTGTTATTAGACAGTTATAAGAGAGTTTAAAGAAGTTCTTCATTAGTAATGGGTGAGTTAAGAGAATAATACCAAATTGGATTAATGTAAAAAGTAAAAGATATTATTGTTTCTAAAAATTATT